TGGCTCTAAGCCCTGCTGTTAATCCCTCATTTTCATGAGTGCTAAAAATACCCTGCATGCCGGGCAGAGCAGGGAAAGCGCAAGGTCTTGGGACTGGCTCCCTCTGATCCATTCATAGCGCAGCCCCCCCCCCCCCCCCCCCCCCGCCCCGGCCCGGCCAGCCTCTGCCCACAGGAGAAGCTGGTAAAGGAGCCGTGGGGCCTGGCCTGAGCAGGCAGCAGTTTTAAAACAAACATAAGGAAGTATTTCTTCACCCAGCGCACCGTCAACCGGTGGAACTCCTTGCCAGAGGATGTTGTGAAGACCAAGACTATAACAGTGTTCAAAAAAAGAACTAGATAAATTCATGAGGAGTCCTTGTGGCACCTCAGAGACTAACACATTTATTTGGGCATAAGCTTTCGTGGGCTAAAACCCATGCATCTGATGAAGTGGGCTGTAGCCCACGAAAGCTTATGCCCAAATAAATGTGTTAGTCTCTGAGGTGCCACAAGGACTCCGCCTTGTTTTTGCCGACACAGACTAACACGGCTACCCCTCTGAAACCAGCAGAGCTCTATTTGTGTGTGTGTGTGGGGGGGAGCTGAGGGCTGGGATGGCCGGAGCTGCAGATCGAGGATGAGGGACACCAGCAGAGCTGCGTGTGAAGCCCGCACAGCCCCTCCCACACTTTGCCTGGCTCTAAGCCCTGCTGTTAATCCCTCATTTTCATGAGTGCTAAAAATACCCTGCACGCCGGGCAGAGCAGGGAAAGCGCAAGGTCTTGGGACTGGCTCCCTCTGATCTATTCATAGCGCAGCCCCCACCCCCCCCCCAGCGATGTTCCTCTCCACAGCAGGGTCAAGAGAAAGGGCAGCTGCTGGGTGCGCTCCCTGCCAGCCCTGGCGGGGTGCAGAGGGGAGTGTGAGCAGAGCAGTGCATTGTGGGTTAGCCCCCCCACGGAAGGGGTCTCCCCCATGGCATCGGGGGGCTCACCTGCAGGGTCTGCAGGAGCCATCGCCTCACAGGTTCGCGGGTGTCTGAGACGGAGGGTTCTGCCTGCTCCCCACGACACTGCCACGGCCCGGCAGCCTCTGACCGCAGGAGAAGCTGGTAAAGGAGCCGTGGGGCCTGGCCTGAGCAGGCAGCAGCCCCTGGCACCTGCCCAGCGTATCCCTGGTCCTCCCGGGGCGCCCGACTGAGAGATGAACTGATGGGACGTGGACACTGCACCCCTGGATAGCGACATCCACTGTCGCATGGCGGGCGGGGATCGAACCCGGCGCTCCAGTAGCACCACCAGCCCCTGCGACAGGACTGGCCCCTCCAGGGAAAGGCAGCGGCTGCATGCCCCCGTGCTGGGGGTGTTACACTGCACAGCCTGGGGCCGTGCGCACACACCACCGGCTTCCTGGGGCTGAGATTCTGGGGCAAGGTTAATACCGGCCTGGCCTCCCACAGCACCTATCCCTCCGTCCTCCCACAGCACCCGTCCCTCCGTCCCCAACCCACCCGTCCCCCCGTCCCTCCATCCCCCCAACCCACCCGTCCCTCCGTCCCCCAACGCACCCGTCCCCCCGTCCCTCCATCCCCCAACCCACCCGTCCCTCCGTCCCCAACCCACCCGTCCACCCGTCCCTCCATCCCCCAACCCACCCGTCCCTCCGTCCCCCAATGAACCCGTCCCTCCGTCCCCCAATGCACCTGTCCCTCTGTCCTCCCACAGCACCTCTCCCTCCATCCCCCAACGCACCCATCCCCCAACCCACCTGTCCCTCCATCCTCCCACAGCACCAGTCCCTCTATCCCCCCAACCCACCCATCCCTCCATCCCCCAACACACCCATCCCTCCGTCCCCAACCCACCCGTCCCCCCGTCCCTCCATCCCCCAACCCACCCGTCCCTCCATCCCTCCATCCCCCAATGAACCCGTCCCTCCGTCCTCCCACAGCACCCGTCCCTCCGTCCCCCAACCGACCCGTCCCTCCATCCCCCAATGCCCCTGTCCCTCTGTTCCCCAACCCACCTGTTACCGAAATGTAACTTAGGGCTTTTTTGACGCTATGGCTTTTACCCTGAGGAATTATGAACGAGAGGCTTAGTTTTGCCCACACTTTTAACACTTTTGCCAAGAGGTGTCCCCAGCTCCCACTGCCCCCCAGAGGCAGTAAAGGGCGGGATGGTACCCCGAGCGCTCGCTCCAGACTCAGTCGATGAGCCAGTTACACCGCGTGTCACTGCAGGTCACAGCGCTGGTGTGCGCAGCCGTGAATTGGGTCATCCCAGCACTGGAGCCATCTTCCCTTGGCATTGCATGGCACTGTGGCTTTTCCACCCTGGCATACGGGGGGTGACCCTGTGCCCGCCAGTCCCCAGCTCCCACCTGGCCTTCCAGGCTGTTGGCTGCTGG